AACAAGGTCTCCTTCGACCCGAGCAAGTGCGAGGTCATCCACTTTACTAGGAAGCACAGCCAGCCAGCGGAGCTGCCAGAGGTCAGGGCGGGGGATTTGGTGGTCAAGGCCTCGACAAATCCTGTACGCTGGCTGGGTGTCTGGTTCGACAAGAGACTGTCCTTTCCGGCACCACGTCGACACAAGAGTAGCTGCGGCAAAGAAGGCAGCTCAACACCTGAGGCAGCTTACAAACACAAAGAGAGGACTGCCAGCGGCCGCCGTGCGAAAAGCCGTCGTCTCCTACGTACTGCCGATCGCGCTCTTCGGCGCCGAAACATGGTACGCAGGTATCACGAAGCCGGCTTCGAGACGCCAAGCGGAGACAGACACGAGTCCGCCTTTCCAAGGAAGACCCGTCAACACAGGCCAGAAGGGGCTCGTGCAGAAGATCGACAGCGTCATTACAGCGGCAGCAAGGATCGTTCTACCTGTCTGGAGGACAACGCCAACCAGTAGCCTCCTCCGAGACGCCGGCTTACCGTCAGCCAAAGTCGCCTTAGAAGGCGTCCGTTTACGGGCCGCAGTCCGACTACAGAGGATTGATCGCCGACACCCGCTAGTCGCGCGGCTCTCCCAGCAGGGACAGCAACAGACGAGACTACAACGGACGGCTGAACTTCTGCCAAGATGCGGAAGACCAACGTTCCTCCAATCACAGTACCTGCCAAGCTCACAGGATCAGATAGTAGTTCAATGCAAAGAAGAGGCTGCGAAAGCTTTCGAGCGCTGGCTAAAGACAGTACCGGAAAGCCATATGATCGTCTTCTCGGACGGCTCCAGGGCGACGAACGGAGCCGTGGGGTACGGCTTCGTCATCTACCGAGACTCCAAACGCATAGCGCAAGGGTGCGGCCGACTCGGACTAGCAGAAGTGTTCGACGCCGAGGTCGAAGGGGCGCGAACCGGCCTCAGAAGGGCTCTGCTCACCAATCGCGGTCATCCAATCCACATATGTATCGACAACACCAGCGTTATACAAGGCATCCGCGGCAAGGCGCCGGACTCGTCACAAGACGCGTTCCTCGAAATCCAAGAAGCGGCCAGGATATTTGATATACGGACGCACTGGTCCCCGGGACACCAGGGCATCGAAGGAAACGAGGCCGCGGACCGGCTGGCCAAAGAAGGAACGACACTGCCGGCGCGGATGGGTCAAATGGCAACACTAGCGGGCATCAAGCGGCTTGCAAGGGAAAAATTACAAAGCCAGCACAGGAGATGGTGGTATAAAGAGCGAAGGCCGCGGTACGCGGACTTGGGGCTTGAGGCAGCTCTGTCCAGCCCTCCTGAACTGGCCTTGCCGCGGGCTACGTTACATCACCTGCTGGCGGCACGATCGGGTCACGGGGACTTCGAGCAATATCACCGACGTTTCAACCACGACGACGCTCTAATGATGTGCTCTTGTGGAGAGGCGAAAGACGTGGACCACCTGGTCTACTGTCGACTAACGCTGGCGAGGAGGCAACGGTGGCCGACCCTCCACTCTCGCAGTATGCCCGAGCCCATAGGTCCTATGGGATCTCTCGAGGCCTACTTCAAGAGATTAATCACCGACCCACGAGGCTTCGAGGCCTTTCTCCGCGTGACGGACTTCTTCCAGAAGATCTGTCTGCGGTAGCAGCATCCACACCTAGGTAGATGTGAGTGCGGACTACAAAGAACCTCCCGATTCCAAGGGACGATTTGGGAAAGAATGAAACTGGGGCACCAGCGGGAACCGGGGACAGACAGAACGCGTAGTGGCCACAAGGCATGATTTGGAGGACGATGTAAAGAGACGACGTACTGTAGAGTAGGTAGCCTTGGCTCACGGCCCTCCACGCCATATACCCTTCGGGAGGTCTGCGGTAAGGGCTCTAGCCCGGCCGCCACGGCGTTAAATACAACAACAACAACAACAACAACAACAACAGAGATAAGGATCCCACGGAGATGTCAAATCTGGCACCCAGGAAGGAAGCTTCAGAGTAGATTCCGCTGTCCCAGTCAACACTATGTCGAAAGATTCGAAGCCAGTAATAAGAGCGCTGGCAAAATCCGAGAACACATCTTCTACCTTCTTCGTGTAGTCCGGCTCGATCAATTTGGCCACATATTCCGGTATCATGCCCATCAATCCGTACAGACGATCTCTCAAGTCGAGTGAGCCTGCCATCCTCCCAATCATCAAGAGTAGTCCAAGGTCGTCTTGATCTTGCCTACGCTCTTCATTGGTCTGAGCTCGACCGCGGCGAACACGCTCTTGAGTCGCAGTTACTAACTCCATCAATTTCAAGATTCGCCAGACTTTCTCGCGAGCCCTTACAGCGCCATGGATGTTCGTGACGCCCTGGAGGAAATTATGAAACGGCACCAAGCCCATACGAAACGTCCCGAAAAGAATTGAAGGGTTGAAGGGACCCAGGCATTTCTCCTGAATTACCCAAATCCGAGACCAGTATGTCTTCTTGACAACTACATCGATGGCCCTGCGTATGGTTTCTTTCTTCTCTGGGTCCGTCATCGCTACTTCCAGCACCTCAGATGCTGCAGCTTTGTCTTTTGATTTGACTATCAGTTCGTGGAGCTGAGCCATGTCGGAAATAGAGTCGTTGGGGATGTCGCCCAGCCAGATGGAGACAATAAGCGCTCTTCCATAAATTTGACGCATGCGCTTCACTTGACGATTGCGCTCGGCCAGGTCCCTCTGGTTGATGCAGATTGCATCGGCCCAGACTTTCAGACCGTCAATATACTCCGGATCTGAGGATAAGGCTCGCAGAGCTGCCTCTAAGCTTTGACCGACAAGCACAACCTGGCCATTCATAATGATCGGCACTCTCACAGTCTGGTCCCCCCAAGTATAGCTCAGGGCTCCGTAGTCACCCCATGAAAATCGATGATAGCGATGATGCGCACGTGGCCTCTCAAACGGCGAGCTTACTCTTGTCGGGCTCAATGATCGATATTGCTCATTCGAGAACCGTCGCCATCGCTCGTCACTATTTCTCCGAGACAGCTGCGGCGTTTGTGACGACCAAGCTCTGTAGTCTGGTAGATGTGCGTCGAGTGAAACGTGCTCTATCGTACAATGGACAAGACCATGCCATTCAGGTGGCTCATCCCGGAACTTGGCAAGAGGTGGTCGTTCAATTGTCTGTAGGTTGAGGACCCGGATCTCGTTTCGATCTTCGTTGAGCGGGTAGTAAGTGAATCCGGCAGATTCTGTGAGCCTCTGGGTTGCCATTGTGAGAGGAAAATGGCCACCACAAATCCCTCACTTGCTTCAGACGTGGTCTTTGCGGTATTTAGCCTTGGCTTGCACTGCCGGGGCCTACGATTAGATGTGACTTGTTGATTCGCTCCCCAGATCAAGTGACATGCTTACAATGTTGCCTAGCACGAACTGGTCTGACATTCGGCATAGCCCCATTGCAGAATGAGGGGCTATCTCGCAACACCATTGGTTTGAATGCGAAAGTACCATGCAATAGCAGTCCCTTTTGGGTCACGACATTGTTCGAGCTTTTTTTTTTTTCCATTTTAATCAATAGCCCGACTCTCAGCCCCGCAGCTTCTTCATTCCTTGCATGCTTACTACATCACTAGGTCTCCTTGCGGCTCAGGACATACTGCATTCATGGAATAATTCACCTCAGCTGTCTTTTCCCCTCCGTGTGTTCGATACTCTTCTAGGCCCCACGCTTGGTATGCATGTGGCTTGATCCTCAGGACTATCATTAAGCATTTCCAAGACAAGTCGACCCAAAGCTCATGTATGAAAGTCAAATCCAATAAATTCATCACGTGAATATTCTCGACATTCCATTTTTGCACGTAAAGAAAAGCAGGCATTTGACAGTTTGTGTTGAAAGAGTTCATTATGGAACTATCAACTCCTGATCAATCTGAATTCATGGTAGGTAAGTAGGTGAGATAGCGGTGTTCGGCTCTGTTACTCGAATTGCCACCAGTCAAAGTTCAACAGATAATCGGTTCCCTCTCCAGTAAAGCTGAAGTAAAGATCATGGCGCCGAAACCGTCAACCGTCAGCTCGACCTTTGTGATTTCGCCGCTGTACGAGATCATGTCTTCGTTGAGCTTGACATACCACAGGTTCGGGTTGCCCCAGAACAGGTAGGCTTGCCCGTCATCGTCAATGAATACGGTGGGGTCGATTTGGCCGTTGGCGAGAAGAGGGCCACCAATAGCATCGACAAAAGGGCCAGTGACACTGTCGCTAACACCAACGCCGATGGACATGAGGCCGTCGCGATTGGTCACCGGAACATAGAAGTAGTACTTCCCATTCCGGCCGATAACCTGGCCGGCCCAGGCATTGGCGCTGGCCCAAGAAAACGTGCTGATATTCATGGGGCTGCCATGATGTTGCCAGTTGACCATGTCCGCCGAGGAGAAGAGAAGCCACTCTCTCATGTCGAAATTTGTTGAGCCATCCTCGTCGTGGCCAGTGAAGAGATAAACTCGGTCTTCCACAATAAGAGGAGCAGGATCCGCAGTGTAGGAGGTTTGGACTATAGGGTTATCGGCTTGCACAGTGCCGAAATGGCAAAGAAGGACCGAAGAAAGCAGCAGAGAGTGCTTCAAAGACCAGTTGTGGACATTCGTCATCATGATAGATTATCGGCCAGTAATGCGGTGTTTCCGTCGTAAGTGTTTCCAAAAGAGTAGTAGCCTTCACAAGTTGACCCAGTATACTTTGCGTGAGGTTGAGTTGCAAGTCTAAGACTGATGATATAGTATATTTTCCCACGTAATATATGAGATTCCCAATGTGACCATTGGCATCGTTCATCGCGCGACTAGAGCCTACAAGATTCTGTGTGATGGATGTGTTGTACCTGAAGTAAATGCTAGTGTAACATCAGTATTTCTCCGTCCACCTGCACTACGCCGGGTGCGGATAAAAGTTACGATGACCAACCGCATCAATGGGATTCTACCGTTACCGCGGGTGCCACGAGGTCGCACCGACATGCGGAAGTGGCAACGGTATTGGTCATCGGCAGACCAGCAACGAAAGGCAAACTGCAGATCCTCGGAAGCTTTCTATCACAGAATGTGTTCAATTCTATGTTTTTACCCACTTGGCTACAGAATAATTTTTGGAACCGCTGATAGCCGACATTCGAGGTACTCTCATGTGACCAGTTGTCACATATTTTACCTGCCTTGCCCACTCCAGCCGCCTCAATTACCACAGCATCTTTTACAGTCATTTTTTTATGACGAATCATCCCAGTTCCGGGATAGACACCTAATAAGTGTTCAAAGTACAAGGCCGGTAACCTTTTGAGTTGCGCGTTTCTAGCTAGCATGCATGGTAAATACTATTCACTTGGGTCCAAACGCCTTGGCAAGATGTAGACGAAGGCTAAATAGGTAGATCATGGGGCCTTTCAGCAGAATCTGAGCTGCAATGTAACCTTGGATTCTTAGAACCCCTCTTTAGTCTCTCGATTTCAGTGAAATCACCTCGATCTTCTAATCGGAAGCCTTGAAAGTCGAGCAATTAGACTCGACGATGGTGTATCTCTACCCTGCCTAGATGTTACGGGCTAGACCCGATTAGTGGATCCAAGCCTTAGCCCGG